CACTGGTAAACTTTGTAATTCCACATTAGCAGACTCAATTACATTATCCACTGCAAACACCATATCAGTGCATCATAGTTACAGCAATCAGCTCCCAAAATGGGATATCATGGCCCTGAACTCAACCACACTGAGAAGCAGCACAGCCTTTGAAGAGGAATTACACAGCACATCGGCTTGCATTTCAGCAGAAAAACAGCAAGGGCAGTGGATGGGCTCATGCACTGTTCAGGAATCTGAAAACCCACTATCCAGCCTCTCAGCACTCCAGGAGAGTTTGAAATCTCAAAAAAACCCCAAATGACTAAATGGAATGAGTGACATCCAAGCAAAAGATGCCTGTCTCTTCACTTTCAAATGCTGCTTACTTTGGAGTTAAATGCTTTTATTGATTCTAACCACCTCAGGAAAGCTTTACAGTTTGCGATATTCACAAATCCAGCATCAAGGACTGATACAGAAGGAGTGTTCTAGTCCCGAAGAAGATCTTTTATCTAAACTGACTTCCTCTCGTTAAATCAATTTGCTTTGATCATTCCTTAAGGTTCATGAACAAGACTGAGTTTGGAAAATTTTACCCATTCTCTGCAAAAGGTCAACTGGGGGGAAAAAAACCCAAAAAATTTGTGGTGACACACGCGTACACACAAGCACGGAGTGGAGGGGGTGTTGTGATGGGGGTCGAGAAAGCAGCAGCTCTGACCCCGGCGGGGCTTGGGTGTGCGCTGTCGCTTCCTGCTGCAGAGGTGGCCCTCGGGTGCCCGGGGCAGGGCACGGCAGCGGCCAGCAGCGGGGGCGGCTTTGCCGGGCAGCCCTGCGGCCGGGGCTGGGGGAGGCCGGGCCGCGGCACGGCGGCTCGGGAACAACAAAGTGGGCTGTAAAGCCTCCAGGTGGTGGGTGTATTTGTTGTCCTGTCTGGGAGGTGCGGTTGCTCCCCGGCCCCGGCAGATCCTAGTGCTGCTGTGGACATTAAGAAAAGTCTCTTTTGGCTGATTCCAAAACCAGATAAGGAGCCGCCGAGTCACCAGCTATGTCTAGACACCGGACCTCACAAGTCAAACGGCTTGTTTGGATTAGCCTTGGAGATCTACCGACCTGAACAGCCCTCCTAAAGAAAAGCCATAGTAACACCGTATTTTCCTCTTCCCACTGCCACACGAGGTCTGCCCGGAGATAGAAGTCGAGTTCTGCTTTGGTCCGTGTCACTTATTTCTGGAAAATTTTCTGTCTTCTCTCTTTCCCACAAACACACCTTACCCCTGTTTTGTCTTTCAGAAGAAAATAAAACAAAGAAAGACACTCCAGAAAAAAAAAATAATCCTTCCTTCCTTCCTTCCTTCCTTCCTTCCTTCCTTCCTTCCTTCCTTCCTTCCTTCCTTCCTTCCTTCCCTCCTTCC